TGCCAAAAAACTGCCATCCACTCCTCTCGTTAACAGTAGGTTTTCTGCCTCCACCCCAGTAATATTTGGATGAAACCATCTATAAGAGGTTAAAAATAAAAAGTGTTAATGATTAACAAGAAGATCTTTTGGTTTTCAGAGTTAACTTACATGACAAGGCTAAACAAAACAATCCAACAGCTTCAAAACCAGGAGGTACTGAATCTTGTTCCTAAATGAATAAGAATTTCTATCTTAGCAGAAAGTACAAATTTTTTTGCTTCATATTGCACTGCAATTTTATATATTGGTAATAGATGCTTTGCAAGTGAAAGAGCTATACCCAAATATACTGACTGCTTGGATTAAAATGATATCAAAGACAAGACATACAACGTGAGCAGAGACCACAAGCCATTTTCCTTACTCCAGGAAGACACGACACACAAAGAAACCAGAAGACAAAGAGGAACAACGCTTAAAAATAAAACATCCAAAGTGACACTTGACAACATTTTAAAGGTTAAAAATTTAACAAAACCTCATGCTTTCAGGCACAGGCTGACCACCAGCTGAAAGGGGTCAGGAAGGAACTTGGGGACAAGCTATTCTGTTGCCCGGTCTTCTTCCACCTTCCTCAAGAGGTGGTGGTGCTGAGCGCTGCCAGACACGAGAGGAGCGCTCTGTCCTCCAACTACCCTGGCAATTCCTCTGCTCCGGATATATCCCGCTTAAATACAAACACTGAGGAATCTCTTATTGATCTTCACCACCCACAAACAGCCTTTGGAATGACTAATATAGTGCCCTGCCAAAGGAGAGCTGTATATGGGCTATATCAAAGAAGCTCGGTGTCCCCACCTATGGCATCAACTTTGAAGAGACTTATTCTTAGCCCTTCAGTTCACACATCTGCATTTTCTCTTATGTATCATTGAGGGGGTTTATTGCGCTCTTGCAGCACTAAACTGCATCTCTGTGTTCTGCATAAAAGGAGTTTTTAACAAGGCACAATTTTAGAAGACAAACTTCACATCAAACACAAACCACCACACAGCCCAGGGACAGAGATGGGGACACAGCAATTAAGAACTGTCTTAGTGGCTTTGTCAGATTTGTATTTAGCAATTAAATGATCTCTTTTATTTTTCAGAATTCCCATAAATCAGACACTACACAAGGCACAAGTGAAAATGCACATCCATATCTGCAGAAAGAACACGGGCTACTCCTCCTTGTACACCAAGTTCTTAGTTTCTCCAGAGTAAAGCAAAACATTCAGGCAAAAGACTCCGCAACCAATCTCATTACAGATGAGTGCTACATCTAAAAAAAAAAATAATAAAATTGAATAGCACTTCTGATCATTCCTGATAGAGTCAGCATTTCATGCTAAATTGCTAAACCAGCAAAATATGTGAGTGCATGTCTAAATTTAGAGTTATTATTTTAATTGTTTCAGCAATTCCTTCTATCCTGAAAAACTGACAATATTCCTACCAAGGCCTTATCCAGCCCATTCTCTTCAGGCACAAATTCTCACAGAATCATTCTGCAGTTTCAGAAATTCTAGAATATCCAAACCTCAAGCAAGTCATTCAGATGGAAGTCAGGATTACTTATTTACCAAATCCATTTCAGAAGTAAATAAAAGTTATGCAGCATGGGTCATAAAAAAAAATACATTAAAAAATACTTCCAATTTCTTACAGCAAATGGGAATGAATTAATAAATAATGCTACATTTATCTAATGACCACTCAAAGGTAATTAGAAGTTCTGTTTTGATGAGTCTCACAAAACAAACTGCACAAGCATCGGTACCTGAGGTGAACGGAACATTAAATATTTCAGAATATGACAGGTCAGGCTGCAGAAGCTGGGAAGATATTTACCACACTTCCACCTCCACAATTTTACTTCTATTAGGAGAAAACAGGAAAAAAAAGCGCAGCAACATTTTGAACAGTTTATAAGCCTTTTAAATACGCATTGAATTCAAAAGACATCTTTGCAAGTTTTTGAGTCTACGTGCAAAAAATGTATAAACACACAAGGCAGAAATTATTGGAATCAGCCCTGCAGAATTATTATATGGTGGCATGACATTCCATAAACTTTAATTAATATAATATCTTCTGTATCTTACCCTAAACCCTAATGCTTCTGGAAGTAACTGTACACTAGTTGTTAAAAAGATGTAAAATTACAGAAACATAATAATTTAATGAACAGAAGGGACTACAAATACTTTGTGCTCAAAAAACAAATTTAAAAAAATGGTAGATGGTCTAGAAATAAAGATTTCACCCCCACATATGCATGCACTCCTACTGAAGATGGCAAAAAGTAAGTAAGTGTAGCAAAAGAAAACCTGCATCTGGAAAACCGATGGGAGTTTATTGCACTTTATGTAACTTTTTTTTCCTAGTGGTAACTTGTACTCCTGCTCTCTCATCTCTGTATTTTTGGCTTTGAGTAGGAAGATGCATTTGTCAGCCACCCCAAATAGAAAAATGGGGGTGTTAGTGATCTCTGTTAAATGGTTCCGGACCGGTGATCGGGATCGCATCATTTGAAGTACTGCCATCACATGTGTGCTTTTGAACCTCACTGCCTGCATCCCTTCCAAAACCGGAGGAGAGAGCAAAGGGGACCGCAGACCAGTAACATAAACCCTATAGAGAACTTTCTCTTACGCTTCCTTTTATAGGGATGGAATGCATTTTAGACTCTTTTTTTTTTCTACTTTCCTTCTTCAACCTCTATTACGAGCAGGTGCAGAGGCTATCCCAAGCAAAGGACATCACAGCCAATAAATACAGGCAAGAAAGTAACACACGCACACATAAACCCACGCTCTAATTAAACTAGCTGTCCTCACTATGCTTGGAACAATCCTTCCAGCAATTCAGATTTGGGGGGTACCCAGCATACCATTCCAAGCCCCTTATTAGTTTAACAGTAAGATGAAAATGTTGGCTGAAAAGTAACCAGTGAAATAGCAGAGGTCTCAATTAAAAAACTAAGAGAATATCAGCTAAGCAGGAACCTTTTGTTTAAAACTAATACATAGTAGAAAATACAGCCTTGCTACAATTATCTCTGGCTTGGTTTTTTTGGTAGCATAGCCCAGATCAGCAGGGTCTGTGTCATACATTGCCAGCCTGTTTCTCTCTTACCAAATTGAAGAGAGGAAAGAAAAAAATCAATACATTTTTCCATGCCATGATTGGGCTTTTCTAATCACCTTTTCAAGAGCAGGAGAGATTCAATCAGTTCGGAGTCTCAGCTGTCACAACCAGAGCAGTCAGGGAGGTGGTGACTGGTAGTTTAATTACCTCTATTTATAGGCTCATCAGTTTGTATTTCTCATCTTTTTTCAGTCTCCCTCACAAGTTACAATTTAAAGTTCTGAGCAGAATAAGATTACTCCTGTCAACGAGGAATTCTGCAAGCATTTGGGAAAGGTAGATTGTGCACTTGTTCTGATGCGTGAGTAGGGACAGTCAGAAAATCCAACATATGCTAGAGATCCTCCACACACTTCAGAAGACCCCGAATCCAAATTCGACCACAAACGGACTGAAAACCAGCCCATCTGGCAGTCGAAGAAAGAGGACAACCCAACGCTGAAGAAGTTATACTTTAATAGATATTACTCAAAGAGATGTATTAAATTTCAGAAAAGGTATGTTAGATAAGAATAGAAATATCTTTTTTCCTCTTTATGACAATAATTCATTTTAAGTCTAACATTTACCTTAACTCATAGCCGAAAAGGGACTGTTAAAAGTAGACAAACACCAAGACACATTAACAACAGTGAGAAGCTACAACAAAGAAACAGATTCAACTCTTTACCGTCCCGATATTGCAACGCCCTAAGGTTTTGAAATTAAGACCAAATGCTGCCAATAAAGTGAGAGCCCACCTCAGGCCGGCTTACTAACACTCCTTTTAGAGTTGGCCCACGTTTTAGTCCCAGTAACGTCACTAGAGCTGGGCTCCCGATGGCAACACGGCCCTCCCCGGCCTCGGATTCTGGCCCGAGAACCGAGCTGGCTGCCACACCGATAAACCCCATCTCAGCTCCGCTTCCAACGCACCCGCGGGGGCGGGGAGAACCCGCCTGAACACCCCACCACGAAGCCAACGTTCCTCCGGCAGCTCAGGCCGCTGCACGGGGGTCGGCGGACCCCGAAGCCAACCGGCCCCCTCGCCCCACACGCTCCAGGGAAGGCGCCCCCCCCGCGCCGGGCCCCACCGGGGAAAGCGTGGAGCGGAGCGAGCCAGGCCTCGACTCGACCCGCAACCCAACGACGGCGGGAGGAGGGATATCCCGCCCCGGGAACGGGCGGGGAGAGGGGCCCGGAGCAGCCGTGGGGCGCGGGAGGCCCTGCAGGGCCAGGCCACCCACGGGGCGGCGGCGCGGCCCAGCGGCCCCGCAGGAGCGGGCGCTGAGAACCCGGGCCCTGCGCTCCCAGTGGGGGGGGAGGCAGCCCCCCTGCCCGCCCGTCCCCTTCCCTCCCCCGCCGGGCTCGGCGCCGCTCAGCTCCCGCCTCACCTCCGCGATGTCATTTTCTCCCGTGGAGCCGGCGGGTGGCGGTGCGCCCGGCCGCCCCCCTCGACGGCCGCTTCTCACATGGAGGGGGAGCCCCCCCGGCGCGGGCCGCGGCCTACGGGCGCCCCGAGGGGAGCGTGAACAACGGCCGCCTCAGGCCCCGGAGGCGCACGGAGCGCGGCGCGGCCCGCCCTACGTCACCCGCCTTTACGTCATCGGCCGGCGACGCCGCCCCGCCCCCGCCTCAGAAGGGAGCGGCCCCCGGGGGCTCGGTCCGCTCCAGCGGGTCCCGGTGGTACCGGCCATGGGAGTAGCGGTGCCTCGTCCTACCAAGCCGATCGGGGCGGGGGGGGGTACGGAGCCTTACCTTGGCCGTACCCCAACCTCGGACCGCGACCCCCGCTGCCCGGAGTCCCCTCCGGGACGGATCGCGGGTGTCCGGTGTCTCCGTCCCCCGCCCCCGGTGACCCGGGACTGCCCCGGGCTGCGCCGGACGCAAGCGGACTACAAGTCCCGGCGTGCTCCGCGGCCGGCGCGGTGACGTCAGACGCCGCGCTCTCTTTAGGCCGCTCGTACCCGGATGTAGGTCCCTTTCCCTCCCCGGAAGGTAAGAATGGCGGAGCGGCGGTGGACAGGGCCGGGGCCTGGCGGGCGGTATCCGCCGCCATCTGTCCCTGAGGGGCTGCGCTGGGCTTACGGGTGCGGCCCGGCGCCCTGAGGGGATGGCGATGGAGCCGGGGGGCCGATATGGGGTAGGGGCGGAGTGGGAGGTGAAGCCGCATCCGGCCAGGCCAGGCCGTGCCTGGTTGTGGAGGCCGGACCGGGGCCCGCCGGGGCCTAGTTAAGAGGGGGGAGCCGAACTCGGTGGGGCTGGAGCTGGAGGCCTCTCTGGAGGGCTGAGCGGTGTCCCGGGCGGGCAGGTCTACCCCCGAGGAGTGGCGGGGCCCAGCAGCTCCGGTGGGGCTGGGGAGGAGTACCGAGCTCCGGGCGGCCTCGGTGGTGGCGGCCTCGGCGTGTTGTTTGCGTGTTGCGGGGCGTCCCGCTGAGGAGAGCTCGGGGGGTCCCGGTAGGTTGTAGCCGCTCTGAGTGGTGCGGAGGAGCGGGGTGTGTGTGGATGGATGGGCCGGCAGCGCGCAGGATGGCGTTTGGCTCTGCAGCATCTTGGTCAGCCAGGGCTGCAAGAGGTGGCTGACAACAGTTAGAACGGTGTAAAACAGTCGAGTTTCGATTCTTTTACTGCTTTGTTTCTGCAACTTAAACACTTCTTCTGTAACACCTTTGTAATAGGTCATAATTCCGATTTTATTTGGTTCCACAGATGGCGGGCGAGAAGGCGCCCAGTGAGAAGAAGGCAGCCGGTGAGAAGAAGCCAGCCAAGAAGAAGCCAGCTGAGAAGAAGCTGGCTGCGCAGAAGCCAAGCCAGGGACAAGTAGGTGAGAAGAAGAAGAAGGCCAAGAGGCATCATGCCAGCCGCAACCCCGTCCTGGCCCGAGGAATCGGGAGATATTCCCGCTCAGCCATGTACGCCAGAAAAGCACTGTACAAGCGCAAGTACACTGCTCCGGAAACAAAGGTGGGACAAATAAATGCTCTGTTCAAATAATCCTGTTTTTCACGGTGGCTTTGGTTTAATGTTTCTTACGTTTTCCCTTTTCTTGGCCTACAGATAGAAAAGAAGAAGAAGGAGAAGCCACGCGCGACCATCACCAAGCCAGTTGGTGGAGACAAGAATGGAGGCAGCCGCGTTGTTAAAATCCGCAAAATGGTAAGAAAGAGAAGTGGGACACTCGTACTTTAGGAAGCTCACAATTACTTCTCCACATCTCTGGCTTAGTCTTGTTATACAAAGGAGAAAACCCAATAAATGCAGCCTGTACCCTCCCTGGTGCCAAAGGGCTGAACTCCCGTTTCTGTTTAGTGACACCCCAAACTGCCCTGATCTGGAGGGAGCTCAGCTCCAGGTCCCAGGACATCCAAGTTTTGGCATGGAGACAGTTGGGCAGTGATTCCTGATCTCCTCAGGTGGAGAGAAGGATGTTTGTAATGTCAGGAGGAAGGGTCTACAGCATTGGCTTGGGCATTTGCTAGCCTTAGTTCCTGCGTTTTGAAGAATCCTGAATTCTGCAGGTATCCTCCTATGAAAGGAGGAGTCTAAACTGTAGTGACACTTTCTGTCTCGTGGAACACAGGGTGTACAGTGTTTCGCTTCTCTCTTTCTAGCCCAGATATTATCCCACTGAAGATGTTCCTCGCAAGCTTTTGAGTCACGGCAAGAAGCCCTTCTGCCAGCACAAGAGGCGGCTGCGGGCCTCCATCACTCCCGGGACTGTTCTCATCCTTCTGACTGGTCGCCACAGGGGCAAGGTAACGGGGGGACTTCTTCCTTTCCACTCTCACAGCAGCTTTGCAGTGTTTCTGCCCTGAAAACATTTTGACAGAGCAGAGGTATCTTGAATTTACCAGCTGATGTCACGGGACACAGCTCAGCCACGGAATGCGAATCCATTAATTCTGTCCAGGTGCTTTCTCTTGTCCTCCCTTCAGGGGAAACAGTCTTTAAACTCCTGTTCTTCTACACAGAGCTGGAAGTAAAACAGGCTAGTCCAGTTGCTTAGACAAAATTAAGGGAGTCTTCCTGCAGTGCAGAAAAGTGTAGATTCATGTCAAGCTGACTTTGTGCTGCGGAATGGCAGACCCGCTCAATATTACTTGTGCAATGAGGCCAGAATTTTGTTTTAGATTACCTATTGCAAAGGAAGAATTACATTATCATCATTCTTAATCTAACTATCAAGGTAACACTTGATTGTTACATTAAGCTTTATTCTTCATCTTAATGATGTCTACTGACATCCTTTATTCTCTTGAATTCCTTGACTTCGATGTCACATTACTCAAAAGACTGCGGTTCAGGGGAGGAAATCTTGACCAGAAGATAAAAAAAAAGCAACTGGGGGATGGCTCTGACCACGCGCTGCTGTGGAACCCTTCTGGGGTTTATCTAGTTCTTGCCTTTAACTTGTACAGAGAATTTGGGCGATGAGATGGTTGTCTCACCATCCTGTACAATAGGCAAAGATTAAAAAAAAGTACTGGTTGGCTTTGCTCAGCCTCGAGCGGTGAAGCACGTGGAGAGTTGTGATCTGTCAGAGATGCAGTAACTGGCAAAGCTGTATCTGAGCAGTGTTGGTGGCTTTGGCTCGTGTGGGGATTGCTTCTCAAGTCACACAGTTGTGTCCGTGCCCAGATCCTTTACTGGTGTTTGTCCCAGTGACTGGGTCCCAGTTTGGTTGCAGTATTTCAGGATGCCAGGACCCGAGGACTAATTTCACGTCTCATCTCTTTTCAGCGCGTCGTCTTCTTGAAGCAGCTTGATACTGGCCTCCTGCTTGTTACAGGTAACAAATTTGTCCAGGAATGTGATGATTTTTTTTTTTGTTGGTTTGGAGGGTTTCATGGGTTTGGGGTTGGGTTGTTTTGGGTTTTTTAAAGTTCACATTTGTCTGTGGGTTCAGTAGCACTACAGATCTGCATGTGGATGGTTTGGTGCATCATGTGTTCATGTATCTTAAGTGGAATCCTCTGTGGCTTTCCAGGCAGGTGGAGGGGAGGTAATTAAGCTTCAATACCTGGAAGAGAGCAGGAAGCATTTTGGGGTCTTTTCTAGATGCTGTGGGGAAGGGATTTGTTGACTGTTCAGATTTCAGCTGTAGGCATCTCTGAAGAACCTTAATAATCTTATACACTATAAAAATTCAACTTAAAAGCAGTGGTTGTTGCCAGGGAAGCTAACCTTGTTCTCTCTTCTGTCTTTAGGACCTTTGGCTATCAATCGTGTTCCTCTGCGTAGGGCCCATCAGAAATTTGTTATCGCTACATCTACAAAGGTTGATATCTCTGGAGTGAAGATCCCCAAGCATCTCACTGATGCATACTTTAAGAAGAAGAGGCTGCGTAAGCCCAAGCATCAGGAAGGCGAGATCTTCGACACTGAAAAAGAAGTAAGGAACATGAGTGCTCACTCTTTCTGAATGTCCTTGTTACTTAAAGCCAGGCTGGAAAGGGGGAAATACTATGAAAGAAATGGATAATTGAATTTTAAGTGGGCCTCAATACAATGAGATAATGCCATTAAAATGAATTAATACAGCAGCATTGAGATAAACCCCTTTTAAATTTGGGGGTTCTTTCCTGCTTCTACCTTAGCAGAACAGCAGCAGTGATTATTCCAGTTTTTTGACCGAAAAATACCTTCAGTGTTTTGACTCTGCCAACAGTGTGCTGCTGGCTCTTGTACCTGCAATGTAAGCCCAGCAGTGGCTTTCAGTTCTCTCTGCCACCTCCGGTCTCCTACCACCTTTCCCATATTTATAACAAACGGAGAAAAGATTTCCTGAAAATGCCAGAACTCAGCAGTTGCCCTGAATTTCCTAATCTCTGTAGAAGAGTATGAAGTCACTCTGCAGGGTTTTAACGGGATCCTTTTATACTTTCTAGAAATACGAGATAACGCAGCAGCGCAAGACGGACCAGAAGGCAGTGGATTCCCAGGTCCTCGCACAAATCAAGAAGGTGCCTCAGCTCCGTGGGTACCTGCGTTCTACCTTCTGTCTCTCAAATGGAGTCTATCCTCACAAATTGGTGTTCTAAGTGTTCTGAAAGCACCACATTAAATTTGAAAGGAAAAAAAAGCAAGGATTTCTGGTGTCTTCATTGCAATCCATAATGGGACATGTTGCACAAATCTTGCAATGCGTGTTAGTTAATGCATAGGAAAACTCCTTGTGGTGTGAAATTCTGAAGGGCTGACTAGATGACTAGAGTTTTGAGTGTGTAAGGTTTGGGGTGTTAGGGGTTTTTGTTTTGGGTTTCTGGTGGTTGGGTTTTTAAAACTATTTTGTATGAACAGGAATTGAGCTTTCTTAACCATGAATAAGTTGGAGGAGGGGAAAAAAGCAAAACAACATTATTATCTTTTGGGAATAGCAGATACAAATGCTGGATTTATTCCCCATCAGGACACATTGCAGAATAAGATCCAGCCCAGTGTCTGTGCTGACATATTTCTCTGCACCCTTACTGTGTTGAAACCAGTGTCTTGGTTATATTTTATAAAGAACTAAGTTCTGACAACAAAACACTGCCAGGTAACTCACTGGCGTTTTAAAGCTTGGGTACAGCTTTGTTGAGATGGTTTTTCTGATGAACAGCTTTGATCCATCAATCACCACATAAACCTCAGCAAATGTAGCAACTTTTTAGAGGTGTTTCAGGAGCAATGCCTTGCATTTTGAAGTGGAGTCACTGGGAATACTCCAGAGTTTAGAGGTTTGCAGAGTTACCTCTAATCCCAGGAACCATAACAAAATTTGGAATGTATGTCCCTTCCCAAATCCCCTATTTTTTTTCCTGTTCTCTGTTTTTCCATATGGGATGTCATGCTTTTAGTCAGGAATGATACCTGCTTAGATCAAAAAGCAAAAGCATGACTCTTAGAAAATTCTGTAGGCCCAGAAATGAGTTAAAAAGCAGAAAAATACTTGCGTTTCACGGAAACAGCTTCTATCTTGGGAGACTTCCGGAGTCTTGACATTTTTTCCTATCAGAAACTGGCAGAAAACGAGTTGAGAAAGTTAGTCCTGTCTGTTTTCTTTTCTCTGTTGAGGTCAGTTACCAGCTATCTGGAAGAGGATGCCTGGGAAGCACTAGCTCTGCTCTTACAAAAGCCGAGGATGTATGTATGAAGGAATCTGGCACGCTTGAGCTCTTTCTTAGCCAGACTTGGGCAGGAAACGAGGCTTATATAACTGCACCATCTGTCTTCCCATTAATTCTTAGCTGGAAGTAGCCAATGGGGTCAAACCTGATGGGGAGTAGAGGTTTCAGCAAATTCATACAAGCATCATGAGAAGGGGGTAGAAAAGGGAGTAATTAAGCCCACACTAAGGTGGAAGCCCACACGACACATAATAGCCATGTTCATTGGGAAGGAGGAATTGGGTTTCCAGTGCTCCAGGAGCAGTGAAAAAAAACCTCAGAATACCTGACTTGGTGGATTCTTGCACCAAGGGGCTGTGGCTGTCTTTAGAGCTGATGCTGGCTGGTGTTTACAGAGTGGAAGTAGATAGCACTGGTTACTCTTCTACCATCTTCCTCTTGATAATTAACATAATGAATATTAGCGTGGTTCAGCAGAGGGAGCCTGTGAGCAAGCTTTGTCCAAATGCAGAACGTGTCTCGTGTTGCTCTGGGCTGTGTTCCACCCTCTGGTGCCCCAGGAAGATGTTCTTTGTATTTCCCTGTCATCAGAACTATGTCTGGGATGACTTACAGCTTCTGTTGTATGTGGTTTGGTGGCTGATGGGTATGCTTGGAGGTTTCTTAAGCTGATGTGAGATTTTACTGCAGTGGTGGGACTGGCCTGTTTACATAAATCAAGTCTAAAAAAGATCCAAAAGTGTGGCACGCATCTCGCTGCTCGTACTAAGATAAGTTTAGTGATACTACCAAAGAAAGATCCTAACGTGATATACTTAGAAAGTTGGGTTAAAGTAAAGATTGTATGTGGGAACGCTTAAATGGGAAAAGTCCAAAAACAGCAAGTAGACTTCTTGATCAAAATAGTTTGTAGCAGCACGTGGTATCACAGAGTCTGTAACACAAGATTTGGTCACGCGGCTGCCACCGAAGAGAACACTTCAGGGGTACCAGAGCTTCAGTCATTCCCCCCTTCTCTGGGAATGGGGAAGTTGTAGGAACAAATTAGCCCTCTGGCCCAGTCTAAGAATAATTAGGCATTTAGATACAATGGTATTTTCTATAATTATTGATTACTCTGACACATTCCTCATTTGTGTATCAGAAGACATGAAATGATACTTAAGCCATTAAGCTTGTTTACTGGATGGGGAGGTTTTGTCTCCCGGTGTGCTGTCAGGAAGTGATTTGGTAACATAATTAAGTTGTCTTAATAGGTCCTGGTTCAGAGAAATGGCCTCATGTGCTGGCTGTGCCACCCTCGCCCCAGTCCTGTCACTTGTCTGGCTCGGTGGTGACCAATAACACAGCCCTGCAAGGTAGGGGGAGGAATGAGTATTTCCCTGCTGGTTTAGATCCCTCAACTGAGTCACTGTGGGACCAGCTGAGTGTTGGTGTGGGCACAAAGTGGGGGTGTGGGAGCAGGCCTATTTCTGGGGGCGCTAGTTGTGAAGTCAAATTTTAACACCAAATCATGCCTTTGCAGTGCCAAGCAGCTCCTCAGGCTTTGCTGCAGAAAATGGAGACGGCAAAACTCTCGTCTTTCACAGGAAAAGGCGGTGGACAGCTGTGATTTGTCTCTCTCTTAACCTCCAAAATATTTTCCTTGAGTTCTGTGAAAACTGGCTTTTTTTTCTGAAATGCTCTGGAGTAGGGGGGGTGGAAAGAGGAAAACTGAGGACCGCACAGATGACCAACACAGAACCAAAGCGAATATTCAGAAGGATTTTTCAGTCTAGATAATACTGTCCACTACCTGAAAAATACTACACAGATGATGCCGAATTTGCCCCAACACAGAACCAAAGCGAATATTCAGAAGGATTTTTCAGTCTAGATAATACTGTCCACTACCTGAAAAATACTTCCAGCACATAAAGAGCTTTTGTGTGCGTTCTCACTGTCCCGCAGCTTTTCTCATTCTGAGCATGTAAACAGTTCTGCAGTCCTGGCTCGCTGAGTCATTGCTTTCCACCCAGCATCCCCCACAGAAGAAGCCAGAGACATCCAAAGCCTCGGTCGCCCAATCAAAAGTGCTGGAGATGTGCGGGGTCCAAAAATAGTGACAGACTCAACCACAGCAGCACTTCATTAGCATCAAATGTGCTCTTTGCTTCAGCTGCCTAATAAAGTGATATGTAATTATAATAAAGCATCCTTTTGAGAGGAAAGACAGAGGGCTGTTGGCTTTCTCGGGGAATTGGTAATAAGATGCAATGCCTTATTATCTCCAGGCACCTATTTTTACCTATGAGCTGTCCCTGGGAATGACCTGGTGGTTTCAGTCCAGCCCAGAGAGGCCGTGTCCCAGCTGCTGTGCTGGGAGGCAGTCTCAGGGAGGCAGACACAAGCTTTGCTTCAGGGACTAGGAGCCTTAGGAGAAACTGAGGCTTATTTGCAAGACGAGGTACTTTCCAGTGCCAGTTTTGCAGATAATGTTATCTGTGGCATTTCTGGTGTCACACACTTGGTTTTGACTTTAATTAAGAGAAGACACCATGGCCAGAATGTGAAAGTGCTTTTACAGGACTATCGCACGCAGCATTTTGGCCAGGTGTTGAGGAAAATATGCCAAATGCCCAGATGTCCAGTGATCAGCTACTCAGTTCACCTCTGCTATAGGGTACCTATAGGATGTGCCTTGTCACATAAGGGCAGCTGAACCTTTTTCCATCAGCACATTTCCACCTGATCTCAGCCTCACTTCTGCAAAAAGCCATTTGGGATCTCTCCACAAGCTCAATAAATAATAAATAGAATTTGGGGGCAATTTATTGGTCTTCGATGCTTGGAAGAAACTCTGCTTTAGCCTTATAGAAAACGTAGGCAAGATCAGCTGAGAAGCCATTCACAGGGAAGAGCTGGCCTAGACAGCCTTCCTCTAGCAAATGCTAGAAAACTCCTTCTGCTCTTTTCCAAATGTTGATTCCCACCTCATTTTAAATGATTCAAATATTAGAAAACCCATTCAAATGGATTCAACTAACAGAATTTGTTCCAGATTCTTGTATATTCTTTCAGTGTATTTTTTTTCTTGTCTTTCAGTGAGGAGGGCTTTTTGATGTCTCCTTATTAAAATCAACTGGTTTTTAAGGTCAAAACTGGTTTCTAACCAGTGCTTCAAACTCCAGGCGAGCAATTACCCTGCTCAGTTTGAAACTGGACAGCAGAGTTGGTCCCTGTCCTTGGCTCACTGTGAAGGCTGTGTTACTGAGGTCTCTTACAGTCCCATTAGGATAAGGGGTGACCCTGTTTCCCTGTGCTGGTTAGGGGGTTAAGCAGCTCACCGACCTACAAACATCACTGATTCCTACGATTTTATCAGCTGTTACTCTGTTAGAAGAGGGACATGTGGACAGCTTAGTCTGAGAGATCTAGAACTACATCAGACACTGGGTCCTACGATTTTATCACCTATTACTCAGTTAAAAGAGGGACACGTGGACAACTTAGTCTGAGAGATCTAGAACTACATCAGAAGGTCATATGAGCTCCACTACACTTTCTTCAGTCATTATTGTTTTGAGGTGGCAGGTCACATAAATTACATAATTATATGGGTACAGCATTTATTGCTCCTGTGCCACTTTGGAGACAGCATCTGAGGTTCCCAGTGACTTGAGCTAGAACGTGAGGACGCAGGAAAAGGGGAACTCTTTACCTGTTAATTTGATTTCTCCAGTTCTCCCACACTGCAGTCTGCACTAAGCACTTGACAACTCATTATTTAAGCAATTAGAAGAGCTCCTGTGCCGCTTTGGTGACAGCATCTGAGGTTCCCAGTGACTTGAGCTAGAACGTGAGGACGCAGGAAAAGGGGAACTCTTTACCTGTTAATTTGATTTCTCCAGTTCTCCCACACTGCAGTCTGCACTAAGCACTTGACAACTCATTATTTAAGCAATTAGAACAATTATATCCGTATTTTTATAAG